ACTCCTTTCTCTACTAAGTTATGCTCTTACTTTAAAAATGGAGTTTTGTATAACTACAAAGTAACATAACTTTAAACGAGTTTCGAAATGTTTTTTCAACTTATAAATAACAAAAGTAACATTTTGAAAGATTCATAACAACAAGCATTTACACAATTATCATTGTGTTCAACCTGTATTCCCCGCTTAAAACAGTTAAAATAGTTAAAAGATTCATTACGGGGTATGAACTCACCTGATGTGGGTGATTCAAACGGGTAGGCGCCTACGGATGAGAAGTTCCACGAATGAAGTCTTGAGACACAATAAGTCCTAAATGATATGTAAGGACACATATTGACATGAATATAGTGTTTTAAACAACTATATGAAAGATAAAACCTTTCGGGACTAGGAAACACCTTGGCGAGGTGTTGGAATCACATGTGATTCAATAATGGAAAGTGAAATGGCACTAAATGGTGTATATTGTTTTGTAACCAACTCCACTTGAGTTTACGGTTGGAACCCATGAGTTTACTGTCGTAAACTCATGGTACTTTGACCATTTGGTGGTTTGAAGTCCTAGAAGTCCTTTTGAAGCATCCTAACTTCAAGTCTTAGCCTTAGGAAGTGATTAGGGCAACATATCACCCCTTTATAGGGTTTACGGTTTTTGGACCATTTGTCCTTGGGTTTACGGTAGTAAACTCATATGGTTTATGGTCAAATGATGTTTTCAAGTCCTAAACACTTTTAGGTAAAGATCTAGGATGGTTTCTAAGCCTAAGGAATGAGTTTGGGGCATCAAAACATGCTTAAGAGGTGTTTACGGTTTTGGGAGTTTCCCCAAACCGTAAACACACACACACACACACACACACATATATATATATATATATATATATATATATATATATATATATGTGTGTGTGTGTGTGTGTGTCATTTTTGTGGTTTTCATGTGCTAAACACATCCAAGTAATGTTCCATGTTTGCTTCTAAGGGGTGGCAAGAGTTTCAGGCACTTTGGCACACTTTTAGCACCCTTTTTAGGGTTTACGGTCCAAGGAGATTCTTGGACCGTAAAAACCTTATCTTTTGTGTTTTTGGGTGTTTTCTTGATGCTCTTAAGGTTAAAACATGTCATGGGTTGTTTCTATACTTGTTTCCAAGGTCTAAAGGGACAAAGGGCACATTTAAGCCGCATTTTTAGTGTTCACGGTCCAAGAAGATTCTTGGGCCGTGAACACCTTGTTCTTGAGGTATTTTGATGATTTCATGGAGTTTAACACTTGATCTTAACATACTAAGGCTAGAAACACTTACTAGTTGAAGATCTTGAAGACAAACGGGATGCTACTTGAGAGAGAAATGGCTTTAGTCTTTGCAATTGTGAAAAAGTAATTAAAATAACTAAGTCACACTTATATAGTCTTTTGGGTTTACGGTCCTAATACCATTTTGGACCATAAACTCAAAACACTTGAATTTTTGGGCATGTTTTGCTACATAGTACACCATAGGGTATCCACTGTCCTGGTATCTTCTGAAGCACTAACTTTAAACCACTCAAACTTTTTCCAAAAAGTTTGAAAGTCAGCAGAAATAGTTTTAACTCATATTTAAGTGGATGGTTGAACATAATGGAAAGTTTTGGGTTGTCACAATGTCCCTCTCTTCTACTCTCTTTCTTCTACTCGTCTAAGAGCCTGCCAAAACACACACACACATCACAACAAACTCTTTCTAAGTCTCTCTAAACTCATCCATTTCTTCATCCAAAAATTCTCAATAATTTTGCTTATGTTTCAAGAGGTTTTCACAAGATAATCATCATTCTTTGGTAATTTTTTACATGTCTAAGTTATACAACTCTTCTCTCTTGTAAGATCATTCCTTCAAAACAAGTTTTTGGTGATCATACTCCTAGAAAACTTTTAAGTTCGAGATCTTCCAAGAAAGCTTGCTAAAGCCAAAAATCACATCACTTACTTCCATTCTTTTTCAAAAATCGAACCCACAACTCAAGGTGAGTTCATACCCCTCTCTTTTTCAGTTTTTATATGTTTTATGGGGGAGAATACAAGAAAATGTTTAGATCTATGTGTATGTGTATGTTATCTATGATTTTATGCATGTATGTGTGATTTTATGTGTTTTTGTGATGAATATGTAACCAAAACGGATGAAATCTCGAGATCTATGTCATAAGAAGGAAAAAAACACGATCCAAGTTATATTATACTAAACAAGTCAAGAATATTAACTCATAAGATTTTGATAAACATATTTCAACATAAAACCCATTTTTGGGCTTAAATTGTCAAATAAACAAAAGTTGGGTCAAAAATTGTTACTTACGGTTTTCTTAAGGGTAAAAGGAGTCAAAACAGTTACAAAAACTGTTTTTATGAATATTATGCACTTCAAAGGACTTAAAATGTAAATATTAGCTCAATGAGCTAATTTTTGGGCTTTCCTGCCCAACAAGCCCAAAGTTGCGAAAATCACGAAATTAAAAGGGTTCAAATGGTAATTTCTTCAAAATACGGGATAAAAACTTAAACAAAACTATTTCAAGGGTTAAAAATGTTTTTCTTTTCCAAAAAGGATCAAAAATGTTAAGTTTTTGGATTTTGGGCCAATGTTGTAAAAGTTACAAAAGTTTGGGTTTTAAACTGAAAAACACTTTTCTGGAAGGACTGAAACTGCCAAAGAATAAACTTTGAGCTAAAACATCATTTGAAGAAGTTTATGATGCAAAAGTGTCAACAAAATGTCTTAAGGGTTTAAAATGTCTTTTCTTTCATATAAAGGACTAAAATTGTTATTTTTATAAAAAGAAAGGGGCTGAAAAGGTTAAACCATTATTTTTAAACCAGTTATTTTACTTATATAATATTGAGTCAAAAATACTAATCAACGACTTACAAAAATTGAAAGACGAATACACATATGACTCCTACTATCGTTATAAAAAAATCGATCGGTCTCGAGTCGATACAAAAATAACAATCATTCAATCAAACCCACCAAAAACCGTACCATACCTAAGGCAAGTAAACATTCCAAAACCTTGGGCTTAAAGCCTTCAATCATGCTTGTTGGTCCTTTGAAATTCATTAACATGATCTTTGGGCCCAAGGGATAATGATAATATATGTTATTGGGCCTTCTATGACCCAATTCCATATTGAAAGGACACTCCATGGCTTTTGAGTGCTATTAGGCCTTAGTTGCCCATTAGCATTGCTAGTAGGGTCAAAGTAATCAAATGTGAAATGGGCCAACGTGTCCTTCGCACACCCAACAACCTAAAATAAACTCACGGAAGCAGCAAGACTTTGTACTCCTTTTATCCTCGTTTGCTAGGCTTATGAGTAATCAAAGTAAACATATTCAGGTTGTTAATTAAAACTAATCAAGGTTGTTTGGATTTAAGTGAGTAATAACGGGCGACACCTCTGAGGATCATTCATAGTCTGTAGTTATATCTAGTCATTATCATGCATGGTTATAACGACTCACAACCATTAATTAAATCAATACCATTCGAGTAATCAAGGAAGAGTAATCAAAATCATTCATTGTGGCGGTATAACAATTTCAGAAATAACGGTATTTTATGTGTTTGGAAAACATCGGGTTTTCCGGGGAAGTTCAACATATTCACTTGTATGTTTAATACTATGTTTTTCAATTATACATGTTTTGAAATCATCATAAATATATTTACAGATCTTCACACATTTTTACAAACAATGGTCTTTTCAGAAAATATTGGATTTTCTGGGTTGTTCTGGTTCAAATTACACAAAACATTTCATATCAAACATGCTTATGAACTCACCAACATTCCATGTGTTGACCCGTTTTCAAAATAACTTGAATTCTCAGGTAACAGGTAAGCTGAGGAATAAGTACCAAGTATGTTAGTGTGTTTTGCTCTTGAAAACTATCAAACAATTTACGTATGGATTTGTAACGCTAAGACAATGTACTTGATGTGAAAAATGTCAGTTGTAATATAATGATGCATGGTGATGTTTATGTTATGATTCATGTATATTCATTATGATGACATTCAATTTAAGTCATACGAGCCCTCAGATGTTTCCGTCATCTGGTTCGGGGGTGTCACACAAAGATATGGAGAATGCAATAAAAAACTTTTTTCCAAAGACTCAACATTGCTTTTGTTCGTGGCATATCGTGAAACATGAAACTGAGCACCTTCAATCGTATGTTTCCCGTTATAGTGATTTTCAAGAAACACACAGACAATGGGTAAATAGTGACACCATTGAACAATTTGAAGCAACCACTACTAGAAAAACATCCTTTTACGACGCTCATTGCACGTCGTAAAAGGCTCAGACAACGCGCAAATACGCGTCAAGGAAGGCCCTGTCATAAAGAGAGACGATGTCTATAGATGACGCACATTTACGACGCTCGTTTACGACGCGCAATTACGACGCGTGTTTACGACAAGCAATGTGTATCAAGGAAGGCCTTGTCATAAAGGAAGACGACACGCATTCGCGTGTCGTAAACTTACGACGCGCAATGCGTATCAAGAAATCCCCTGTCAAGAAAGTCCATGTCATAATTGAAGATGACACACATTTTTTCTTATCGTAAATTTAGATGTTTACAAAAAATATTTATATATTTATAAAATTTTAAATTAAATTTTCATTTAATGTCTCATAATAGAAATAAAATACCATATACAAAAAATACAATCCATTGCATAAAATTTAATTTCATACAATTCTATTTCTTACAATATATAAATTTACATTAATCTAATCTACTATGTGTTTCATACTAACAATTGAAATGAAGAATGCAACTCTTGCATTTGCAGCATCTTATCTCTTTCGGCTTGAACTTTCTTTCCTCTTCTAACTCAAGATTTATTCGCTTTCATCAACCCTGTAAGCACAACACAAGAAATAATAATATGATTTCCTTCAATGTGGAGACATCCTTACATGCTCCTTCCTCCAAATCTATACCAACTTTGACATATCAATTGCATATTGATCTAATCTGCATCATATCAATCATCAATCAAAAAAAAATTTAGTAAAACAAAAACTAATCATTCAGATTACCTACCCTGTCTTTGAGAAAGAAAACTCCTTCAGTTTTCTTGCTAATTCAATTATAGTGGCTGCAGATCCAGGCACAATTCTACTATCCTTGCATAACATGTAAAAAATACAAGGAATAAAAATATAATTTATCCAAACAGTAATGCATTTTATCTTGTTACTAAACGCAAAAACAAGAAGCAACAAAATTATTAACTCTGACTTTAGGTTTTTCCTAAAAAAAATTCCTTTCATTTCCCAAACTACCCTCTCATTGTTTTTGGTGAAAGAAAAAAGAAGGTCTAGGTTACCTTGTAAGTATTTACACCATCATCAACACCCCTTACCAGATCATCAAGTATGCTATCTGTACTTCCACGTAGCAAAATCGTTGTCACAGAGTTCCCACCTTGTTCTTTTCTTACAACAGTCACCTACACAACAAACAACAGCGACATTTTTGCCTTTATAAAAAACTGTAATTTTTGTCCTTTTGACATCAGTCTCAGTAACCAAACCAAACAAACGAGAAATGATGTTTCATAATCATACATACCCTAGCACCACCAATTTCCTCTACAGAAATGGAGTCAACATATATATCAAAGATCATCAGGATTCATAGCACCAAGCTTCAAATACAATTATATAAATTATTAGCAATTATATATATATATATATATATATATATATATATATATATATATATATTCAAAGTTCAAACAAACACTAAAACATTATGCTTACAAGAAAGTTCGAGAAGAAGCACTCACCTTTACCTTGTCTATTTTCTTTATACTCCCTACAGTATCACCCTTTAAGACCATTCCTTTAACTGTTGCGTAGTTATGTAGACCTCCTCCTACAAGTTTTGCAACTATCACATTGTCATCATTGAAAATCACAGGGTTCTTTGGGCAAACTTGTATGTGGGGTAGGTGTTCAAATAAGAAACATACAAGTATTTATTCATGTCAATATTATATATATATATATATATATAATAGAGAAGCAATGGCACATAAAGACTTGCCATACCATGCGAAGGGAAGCTGTAGCAGCAGCAACATTGTCTACCATTGACATCAAAGTTGAAACACCTCCACCTCCACCTGCAGCCACCTCCATACTAGAAGGTGATGCAGTATCAGTAGGAGCACCAGTTTTCTCCACGCCTTCTAGACTAATATTTGATGTGACAGCCACCTAATCATCTTGAGCAGCCTGAAAAACACATAACCAAGTATTATCTTTTCACTCATCAGATGTTTGTTTTGACTTATCTAAAGATCCCACATCATGGTCATATATCTGCATGTGATTAGATGTGAACAATTATGTTAGGATTTAGAAATCCTAAGTTATGATTCATTTGAATCATTTGAATTGATGATCTAAAGAATATAGAGAAATTCTAGGAGCATCTTATTAGTGCAGAGGAGTTAGGGGCATTTTGGGCATTTAATATTACTCGTTTGTTATGTTAGATAGTTAGGGGCATTTTGGGCATTTCATAATAAATTGCTCATTGAAGAAGCTGGAGAAAAACACATTGTACTTGGTACCAAAGAACATAATGTAAGCAATATATAATACTCAAATACAAACAGGCCCTGAATCCATTAAGTGTGGTCTGAACTCCAGTAAATAGACTCTTCTCATTCCAATTCCTATTAAGTAACTTGGTCTAAGTGGATTAACAGGTGGAGTTCTAAAAGTCAAAGGCAGATGACCTAAAAAAAGATAAACTTTTTACTAAAAAAGAAAAGGAGAATGAAAAAAGATAAGGAATTAAGAGACTACTGACCTCAAGATATACAACATATACAAATTTTAGACCTTCTTTGGTTGCAAAAACAAGCTTCTTCCCCTCAAACTCCTTCAACTGACCATCCTGCTTCTGTTTCTCATCTTCACTCTCATCAAGTTTTAGATCTCAATTGCCACTATTCCACTCGCAGTTGCTGTAAAATGTATCACATCTCTACCATCATGAACACAATTATCAGACAATATATCAAGTGTTTGTATTTAACAAGCTTTGTAACACGGCCTAATAAGCTATGCAACACAAATTTGTTAAAAGTTGGGACTTAATGGGGACAATCTCATTTTTCTTGCTTTTTTCTATTAATTTGTTCTTTTTGTATTAAATAATAACAAAATACCCATATATTAGGTCATGTTCCTATGAAGTCCTTAAGATAACAAAAGTGTTGATGTGTATTGTAAAAGTCGAATAGAGTGTTTTGTATAGTTTCGCATTTTATGTTATTTTACTAAGTCATTTTTATGCGAAGATAAAATGTATAGACTTAGTATACTTTTTGATGGTTCCCTATAAATAGGGACTTAGGCTAGAAGTTGTAGGACAATGCTTGAACTCACTTTTGCTTAACTCTGTAATCATACTTTATCAATATAAGATCTGATTAATATTTACTCTCTGTGTTCTTCATCTTAATTCATTCAAATCTATCATTTCTGTTATAAATTCTCGATAACAATTCTCATCAATTGGTATCAGAGCAGGATTCAAACTGCTTAGATCTGATTTTCGTATAAGAATCATTTTCTTTTTGAGTTACGAAATTTTACTCAAAATTTTCTGCGCATTTTTGATTTTGAAAATCACTTTTGATCTTCAGATTTGAATTGATTCTGCAATTGAATTGTTAAATCGAGTAATCGATTAGTGTTTTGTGATCAATTAGTTTGATAAATTCTGAAATTCATCAAGGTTTCAAGTTTTCAGATATTTTCTGTGTTCATCAATGGCGAACTTCAACATGAATTCAGTGACTTCTTTCTCTCACTTGCTTGGTTCATCAACTAAAATTCCGATGTTAATTCCAGAATACTATGATCAGTGGGCTGATAGAATGGAAGATTACTTAAATGGAATTGATGAAGAACTTTGGAAGTGTATTGATAGAACAGTACTAGCTCCTGCTAATGTTCAACCAATTGGACCGTCTGCTGCGTCTACTGATGTTGAAGAACAACGCAATCGATTGAAGAAAAATGAAAACAGATTCATGAGAGAACTAAGAGGTGCTCTACCTCCTATGGTTTAAAATTACATTCGTAGTTGTAAAACAGCTAAAGAGATCTGGAATACTCTAAAAGAAAAATATCAAGGAAGTGAAAAGACGAAGATCAACTCTGTGAAGCAGTGTCTCGTTGAACTGAAGGAATTCAGACAAACGGATTCAGAAACTTTAGAAAGTTGTTATGATCGTTTGAATGAGCTTATGTTTCGCTGCAACAGGTATGGAATTACTAGATCTACCATAGAGTTCAATCTCACTTTCATTATGAGTCTTCGCAAAGAATGGCGCGGTGTAAGCATGATGATAAAGAATCAACAGTGTTTTGATACAACCACATTGAATGATCTTTACAATCAACTGAAAACACATGAATGTGAGGTCACAGAAATGTATGAAGAATCAAAACAAGCTATTGGTGGTCCTTTGGCTCTTGTTTCAAAAGTAACAGACAATGATGAAAAAGATGGTTCTGATATAGAAGGATTTTTGATGAACTCTGATGATGAAGCAGTAGCATACTCTTCAAACAACAAAGTTAAAAAGTTTTTCAAAAAGCCTTTTAATCTGAAAGGAAAGAATAGTGATGTGAAAAGTGAAGTAACAAGAACTGGAGGAGAAGAAAGAAGAAAATGGAGAAAACAGATGGAAAACAGAAGAATGCGAATGAAGAGAAAAAGTTAAAGGGTGATTCAGGAATTTATTGCCACTACTGCAATGGTGCGAATCATTTCGCAGCTGATTGCATGTTGCGAAAGAAAGAAGAAAAGAAAGAAAAAGTCAAAAATGAAGCTTATTATTCTGAAAAAATTGAAGAGTTAAGGGCAAAGAACAAAGGAGTGTCTTTGGTTGCTAAGGGATAATCGGATGAAGAAGAAAGTGGAACGTATCAGATCTGGTCTTCAGGCTCTGATGATGAAGAAATGAAACATCCAACACATGGAGCTATGTTCGCAAGTTTTGAGGACTGCGAAGAGAACATTTCTGGGAAATGTTTTATGTCTAAATCCACAGAAAAATCTCCTATGACAACCAAGGTACGTGCAATTCTTGAATCTTTTAATATTCCTTTATCTGCTTATGATGCTGAAATTGTTTCGTTTGATGATACTGTGGCTTATTTTGATTCTGTTATTGTGTCTGCTAGTAATGAAGCTAAGAAATTGAATGTGCAACTTAGTGAGACACAAAGGGAATTAGAAATAAAGAAGAGCAGGGTAGAAAAATTAGAATTGCAAATCAAAAACATAGATTGTGATAGGAATAATCTTTCGAATGATGTTAGATTGTTACTAGCACAAAGAAACATCTATTGTAATTCAGCAAAAAGGTTGTATGCAAAATTAACTGCTTTACATCATTCTTCTGATATTAGCAAAGAACAACATAGGAAACTTTACCTTTTCTTGAATATGAGCGTGAAAAAGTTGATGTTGTTTCTTATGATTGCGAAAGTACAATTGCTCAATTTGACAAAATACCGGATGATAGATATTCATATGGTATTGTCAAAATTGATGAATTTCTGAATGCTGATGAGTTGGTTGACATTGTAAATGAAAGTTTGACAAAAAGTGAACAAGTGAAAATCTTAAAGAAAACCGAAAATTCAACTCTTACTTCGCAATTTAATTATGCTGATATTGATGAAAATTCTGATAATGTGAGTGAAATCAGTGAAATTGAAGAAGAAGAAGAGATTGATTGTTCTCAATTGTCAATTGTTAATATCACATCTAAGATCAAAGGTAAAGAAATAATAGTTGATTCAATAGTAGAGGATAAAGTTGATAAATCTTCAACTTCGCAACATTGTAAGTTTGATAATGTGGAAGTTGAAAGCTGGAAATCTGATGATACTAATGAAAATAAAGAAGAAAAGCAAAATTCAACTGAAACACATCAAAGGGTTGTGGTTGATCAAGTGTTTGAAAACACAAAAGAATTTGACAAAGTTTTAAATGACAAAGGCGCACATTATTTGGAAACCAACACAGTGGTATATCCAAATTTTGTATGTACTGATAAAACTATTTTTCCAAATCAAGTTTTTGTCACTACTGGAAATGCTGAGAAAATTCATCCTGAGTTCAATAAAATGGTTGAAAAAGACAATCAAAAGTCAACACCTGAAGGTTTCTTCGCAAATCAAAACACAGTAGAAAACAATTTAACTCAAAATTCTTATGTGTTTCAAAAACAAAAATCATTACAAAAATGGGTGGTTAAAGGTGAAAAATCAAACAAATCTTTTGAAAAAGTTGAAAAATCAAAGGTTGAAATGAAATTAAATTCTCAAGAATTCAAATTGATGGTTGAAACTTTTTCAACAGAAAATAATGTTTCAAAAAGACAAGCAAGAAAAGCAATATTTTGGCAAGTTGTGAATAATGAAAAACAACAAATTTCAAAAACATCGTCAAAATTTCAAGATAAAAACACTAACACAACTTCGAGTTTTCATAAACAAATAAATTCTGTTGATAAGGTTTCATATATTCGCAAATATGACAACAATAGAAAATTTGAGAATTCGCAAAAATTTGCAAATAATCAAAAGTTT